TTTTTTTTCAAGTTCGCCCAACGGCTGAATGATCCAAAATCAAGGACTAAGGTTTAAGCTACACTTTATCGTATGTTTGTGCATTCCATCTTAGAGTACTGTTGCCTATTCTTCGGTCTGATGAACGAATTATGTCGTTCAAAATTTGAAAAACGCCGAAAGACATTTCACAAGAAAACCGCTTTATCCGACATTTTCCACTTCTTTTTACTCAAAGAGATGCCAATTAACAAACCTAAGAAGCAGGCTTTTGTCTCTTTTTTCGTCTTAATAATAGCACAAATCTACCTTAGCTTTCTTTCATTACCTCAGTCAGCAGTCCCTACAATCTAAGAAACTCGGCACTTGTTATACCTTCTCCTGCATCCTCCTTATCTAAACCCTCTTTGTTTTTTGCTTCCAGATATATTTTTTTGAATTAGGAGCAATTAAATTTTCTGCATCATATACACGTATTTTCAGTGCTCTGATCACGAACTTGAATGTCCTCCCTACTAAAATCCTCTTGAATACTAAATTTGTTTATTTTTTCCATATCATTTACTGTCAAGGTTGTTTTGCACTTTCAAAATGCATTCAAGTTCGTCAGGATCTCAACGATTGGGCATTTACAAAGGGAAAAAACTCCTTAGCTTTATTCATACAAACCTGCTTAATGCAGACAGTGTTATTTATGGCCCGTTCGGGGATAGGAAAGGTATGACTTTGTTAAGCGGTTAAACTTTTAGTCATTTACTGCGATTTCACGGCATCTGGTTTAAGTCTAAAGTGCTTTGAAGAGTTTATTCTCAACGAAGTCTTAACTGATTACGCCAACGTGCATTCTGTCCTTTCTGGCACAGCAGCTCAGACGACCGATTTAAGAAATGATGCAAAGTATTTTATGTTTTTCTAGTAATATTTTAGAGTCATTATCAAGGACGCAGTGAATGCTCGCAGTTCAGATGCCATTTTATTTGTAGGGAGTGGAACAACATATGCGATTCATAAACTTATACATAATCTGAACCTCACGGAGCCACCGGTAATGACGTTTAAAATCTGAAATATTGAAATAAACAGATTGTTCTTAATGGTCCTTTTGAACACCATTCAAACTCGCTTCCATGGACGCATCTGGCTCATAAAGTGGTTCGGCTTAAAACAACTGTCGACGGAGATGTTTCTATTCCTTACTTAGAAGAAATGCTACAAGTGAGTATCGTCTGAATTCCCATTAAAATTCTTGGTAATGCCACAGTGAATGCTCGCCGTCAGGCATCCATTGGGTTTATGCTTCTCCTGGAAGCGCCGAGTGAACTATTTGAAAAGCTTTGTGCAAAGGAAACGCTAGTTTCTTAATATTTATGTCTAAGGATCTTGGCGTCGTTCATGTTATACCTACTCTATCTGATTTCACCAATTTTCTGTCTACCCTTAACGCATATATTTTAATAAGCCTAGTCGTTAAAACAGTGTTAACGGCGAAGATTTATAATCAAGTATCTAGTTGACTTTGTAAAACAAATATTTGTCTGAAGTGGGATTTTCTGTTGCCTGTAAACTGTACAGAATTGCGTCGAGCACTTTTCTGTTGCCTGTTTTTGCATATTTTGAAATTACAACTTTTTAGCAATTATAACACCTCAGTTGCTTTTTCTTGTTTTTTTTTTAGAAAGAAACTAAGCTAGCAAAGAAAATTGGATGCAAGGTTCTTGTTTGCCTTTCGGCTGCATCCAATGTTACTGGAATCCTCGTCGATACCCTGAAAATATCTTCCCTCGTTCACCAATATGGCGGTATAATATTTTGGGACTATGCTACGGCTGCCCCATATGTCGAAATTGACATGAATCCACCAAATAGGTTTCGGCACTTTTTCATTTTCTAAAAAATATCTTTCAAGCACAGGCTATGAGAACGCCTACAAAGACGCTGTTTTTTTCTCCGTCCATAAGTTTGTGGGAGGTCCGCAAACTCCTGGCATTTTGATTGCCAAGAAAAGTCTTTTTGAAGCCGGACAACTATGTCCACATACTAGCGGTGGTGGTACAGTAGAGTTTGTTCGTCGAAAGAAGACTACTTACTTAAAAGTAATGTTTTGCCACTCACTACGATTTTCGAATTTAATGTTTTTATCTGATTGTACTAACTTGAAACCAGTTGTATTGTTTAAGGAAGTTAAAATCCTAGCATTTTATATCTTAATCACTTTCTTTCAAACCACAGGATGTTGAAGGACGAGAAGAAGGTGGAACACCGGCAATTGTTGAATCGATTAGAGCTGGACTGGTTATCCAGCTACAACAGGCAATAGGAACGGATCTAATCGCTGAACGCGAGCATGAATTAGTCTTGTAAGTAATATTTTCGAAAGTTATATCTAATTTAAACACATTTCAAAGAACCAATAACTGACATGTTATTTAATCGTCTTTTTTATGTACAGTAGATAGACTGTAAATGATTTCGAATAAATCCACCTATGTCAGTATACACGAGTAAACTATAAAGCTGGAAAGTTTTAGTCATTAGACTCACACCAAGAATAAGATCTGACGATTTTGTAAAATATACTGCCGTATATTATCTTTAAATGAAAACCTACTTGTTATAAATTTATTTCCTCTTAAAGGCGAGCGTGGGCGAAATTCAGCAAATGTCCAAACTTAATTGTGCTTGGCGGTAGCAAGGTAAAACGGCTAGCCATATTCTCTTTTCTCGTTCGCCACACACGCGAGCTGGCAATACAACAAACGTCCAGTTATGCTGATGAGGATAATGCGTTCCAGCCGAGACTGCGAAAAGTCCCTGACTCATGCCTTTTTATCCATCACGACTTTGTGTGCGCCCTCCTCAATGATCTCTTCGGCATTCAATCGCGATCCGGCTGTGCGTGTGCCGGTCCTTATGCACTCGACCTTCTTGGTATCAACGAACGTTTGGCTACAAGCTACGAAGAGGCACTTATTACAGAGTATGCCTTATATTGACAAATTAATCTTCATACTTAGGGAATTTTTATGTCTTTGTTTGCTGCATCAATAATACTGCTCAGGCAACTGACTTTATATATTACATTTGTTTCTGGATATTGTAATTGGAAAAATTCATACGAAAGACAAGCGGTTAACTTCGCTGCGCCTTAAATTTTGTTCTACTTAAACGATTAATTAAAGGTTTTATTTTCTCAACAATTAAACCACACCTCCATATACCGTTATGTACATAAATAACTACTCTACCCAAGTATAATGCTAAATGTTACCCACATGATTTGTTAAAGTATGGGAAACAAAATTTCCGGCTACGTTGTCCTTTTGATCTTCTCCAAGTTATAAATTAATTTCTAAGAAAAGAAAAAGGCAACGATTTCCGATTAAGTTTTAATTCACCTGCATTTTCGTACTACACAGGTTTTCGCAAATAGGACACTAATACAAAAAACATCATAAAAAGTGACAAAATTAGTTCTCCTTCTCAGAGATAAAGTATAATCAATTTTTTTAAAAATAGGACAATCTGCCAGCATGGCATGTAACTTCAAGTTAAGTACCGTTTAAATTGTTATTGTGACTTCCTTTCCCTTAAAATCGGATTCTGTAATATTTCAGAGACAATGATGAGATACCAGAACACAGAGTGCTGCGGTAAGATGTTCAATTTGAAACTGTTTATTAAAATTATCCAATTTGATCTTCCCTTATAATTTACTCAGGACATAATATTATCATTGAAGTATCTTGTCACTTTCCATGCATGCAAAAAGAAAATGGGTTAGTTTAGATCTAAATTCGCAATATATGTAGTTTGCGGGAAGGCGACGAATACCTCTCGTATCCTGAGTTACCTCAGCAACCATCTAGTTTCGCACAAATGCAGCTGCTTGCGAACACTATATCGCCGAGTAGAAACCCACTGCAGCGAACCAGCCGACAAAAAGACTGAGGTCCAATTTCTACGGAGACTCTTCACGATAAAAGGAGATCTGGGCAGCTTCGTCAAAAAATGCAGAAGAAAACG